TATCAAAGATAAGAAAATATGGCAGGAAAAGCTTCCTGTAGAAGCTTTTGGCCTGTAGACAGCTCAATTCTAAGTCCTGAGTGGCAGAGGAAAGAATTTTCCCTGAGGCAGATGCAGATGAAACGAAACACTCCACTCTGCTGGCAGATGCCATAACAACACCTTACAATAAAAGTTAGTTTCTGTTTGACCATAAAGCCAAAGAGAACAGATGTCTCAGGAAAAACTTAGCAACCTCTGTCTCTAAAAAAGTAAAAGTTTTCTGACTTTTTATTTTCAGCTTTCTTTTCTTCCTGTAAGGGCAAAATTAGGTTCACCTGGAAATAACATCTATCAGAATGAGAAAATCACCTGTAATTGCTCTAAGAAAAAACAAAAAACCTCTTGAAAATATGGCAAATCCTCTTTGCTAGTCCTGTCTTTCCTTCAAGCTAGTAAAAACAGCAGCCAGAATCCCGTGCAGCTAGAGCCAATGCAGGAGAAAGTGCAGGTGGAGTGCCCAGCAAGGGAAGCATTTCCCAAGGTGGAGACAGAGCAAAGGCAATGTGGGATCTGGGGAGGGGCTGCTGGTGTGGAAGCAGTTAGCAGAGAATCTGAGCCCCAGCTAAGGCTTCAGGGACTCTACATCTTGGGGGACGGGACAAGCAGAGGCTCTATCTGCAGGGGGAAAATATTACTGAAAAAGCATTATTTACTGATCTAGTAAGGTGGGGGAGCAAGCACCAAGAGGTTTTCACTTCTAGCAACAAGTGCCTGTCTGAGTGCATGCGGGCAGGTGTGACCCACTCCAGGAACAGTGTCAGGTTCAAAATCTGATTAGAGAGGTACACCTGTTGAATGGTATCACAAGCATCCTAATGCAAGCTTAGGGAAGAAAACAACTCCCATGGTAAAAGTAGAAGCTTGATTTTGGCATGAACACAGACCATGTCATTGGAAGTTTTCTCTTGGACCCAGAAAGGCAACCTGGGAAATGTAGTTTGAAAAGTAGCTTGGGAAATGTAGCAATGATATAGGGAAAGGCAGTTTGGGAAATGAAGTCCGTAACAGAGATGCCAGTACTGCACTGCCCCAAAACTCTGTTTTTTCAGCTCAAAATGCTATTTTTTCCACAAGTCTTATTTGCTTGTCTCTAGGGAATGAGAAACAAATGAACAGCTTGCCTGTCAAGAGGCAATTAAAATGCTAGTACAGTTTGTCAAAAGCCACTTTGAAATCCTTTCGAAAACAAGGGAAAGCGGTTCTTACACTGAGAAATTGCTTTGAGTATGAAAAAAAAAACTTACAGGATTGAGTTGTTCTAAAAATGCAAGATGGAAATATTGGCATCATTAAAAATGCTCATGGTAATCTTAAAAAGCAGCTTTAAAAAACTAAGAGCTGGGCGGTGGTGGTGCACGCCTTTAATCCCAGCACTCGGGAGGCAGAGCCAGGCAGATCTCTGTGAGTTCGAGGCCAGCCTGGGCTACCAAGTGAGTTCCAGGAAAGGCGCAAAGCTACAGAGAGAAACCCTGTCTCGAAAAACCAAAAAAAAAAAAAAAAAAAAAAAAAAAAAACTAAGAAGAGGGAATTTATTTTATCCTCAGTCAAGTTTAGAGCCACTACTAAATTAGACTCTGACTTTAAACTCTCAAGAAAACTTTCGGAATGATATCAAAGCTCACTATAAACTCCAAACTTTAGAAATGATTTGCGTATTTCCTGTCTTGTTATTAGTAAAGAAATCCTTTGTAGATGTTTGCTAATAGTTTGCTCTTGAATGTAAGTTAGTTATGTTAAGAGAATCTTCTAGATAAGTTTGTAAAATAGTTCTATGGAGTTTCTTTTTGACTATAAGTTTGTAAACTAGAGTTCCCTTTTGAATATAAGTGTGTAAAAAGTGTAAATATGTGTAATGAAATATTGAATGTAAAAAGTGTAAATATTGAATGTAAAAAGTGTAATGTGGCCTGTGTTTGTAAAAAGTGTATAAGTGATGTTCATACTAGAATTGTTTTTATTACTCTTTTACCTTCAGATATATTTGAATACTTTTCATGATAGCTAAAATATAGTTTTATGATCTCACTGGCCCCAGAAATCTTAAGTGAAGGTGTCATAATTAGGGGAGTTTCCCTGTCTTCTTCCTAGAAGTTTCCGCTCTTTCTGTCTCTGTTTAGAAAGGGGTAGGCCTCCTACAACTGACTTAGTTTATACAGAAATTCTACTTCTGTGGTATGGACACATGTATAGATGAGCTACTTAAACAGCCCAAAGTGTTTTATAATTATCATGGGTTTTTGTTTACTTGAGTGGATACTTTGAAATGATTTGAAATGACTGTTTTCTCCTGGCAATCAAAATAGTCTATTGAAAATTTTATTGAACATCTGTTAGGAGAGATTTTTGATCCAGGAAAAGACTGCTGTAATCACCTTAGACCCATTCCAATAAGGATATTCCATCTTTTTTATCCACTACTCCTTTACTGGGAGGTGTAGCAGCTATGGAGATCACTGTGAATGTTTGCAAGCTCATAGTAGGGACCTGGGTCAGAGCTGAATTTAGATCTGTACTCCCTCTTCTGAGAGGCTGGTAATCAAAGATGGGCAACTTTCTTCTTGATAACTTCCTGAATGTATGTATGTAAAATTAATCAAGAAGAATGACCTAAGACAGGCAAAGTCTATATGACGGGCCTGTGGGGCCCTTTTATTACCAAGAGAGGGAATTGAGGAGGCCCACAAAGATTTCCTAGTGAGATCTGAGCATGCTTTACCCAGCAGGGCTGCATTAGAGGATTTTTTGACCATGTGTGTGGTTACCTGGTGATTGGAAGGGTCTACACTTGGCTGAACTAGGGGGAGGTCTTTGGCTCCACCCCTTGGCATTCCTATAAATAGCCCTTTAGAAGAGTGGAGGGGCCAGTGGATAAGGATCCAGGCCCTCCTGAAGTTATCCTGTGTTTCTATCTGTTTCTCTCCCCTCTATCCTTCTACCTAATTTCTTATCTCTCTCTCCTCAAGAATACCCTGGGGTAAAATGTGGGAGCTGCTCTCCCAGGTGGCCTCACACAACATGAGAGTAAGGTGAGAGAGTGGATGAATGAGAGAATGAACAAGTAAAGAGTGAAATAATGATGTAATAATATATTAAAGAAGGTAACAGAATAGAGAGAAGAAATGTGTGAAGATATGTAACTGTGTGGAGACAAGGAAAATTAAGCTGTATAGAAAAGAGATGTAACTGTGCATAAGAGGTATGTGGCTGGGTGGAGAATGCATGGAGAAGTAATAATGTGGAGTGTATCTATGTGGAGACAGATTTTCAGAGAAAGATTTTTTAAGGTGAAATAAAAGAGAAAGTTAACATAAGAAACTGTGTTTCCTTATTTACCTGTCAGATAGATAGAAATTTATATCTAAATACCCTCAGACAAAAAAGGTTCCTGAAGTCCTGATCCTCTGAGGGCTTCTATTCATAACCCTAGAGCAGTTCTGGGAGCTTTGTTAAACCTGGTCTCATAGGGGCTCTCAGAGACTGAAGTGACAACCAGGTAGCCTGCATGGGACTGACCTAGGCACTCTGCATGTTTGTTACAGTTGTGTAGCTTGGTCCTCTTGTGGGACTCCTAACAGTGGGAGCAGGGGCTGTCTCTGACTCTTTTACTGGCTTTTGGGACCCTACTCCTCGTACTGGGTCGCCTTGCCCAGCCTTAGTACATGGGAGGTGCTTAGTCTTCCTGTGACTTGATATGCTATGTTTGGTTGATATTCATGGGAGACCTGCCATTTCTTGAACAGGAAGGGAGGAGGAGAGGATTGGCGGGTGTGTGATCAAGGGTGGGAGATGGGGGGAGAGACATGAAGGAGAGAAGGAAGGGGAAACTGTGCCTAGGATATAAAATAAATGAATAAGTAAATAATGAAAAAGAAAAAAAGCAGAACTTACCTTTTTAATTTTCTACCAGAAACTAAGACCCTATCTTTCATGGGAGGTATTGTGCATCTCTCAGTCAATTCTTTCCTGGAGAAATCAAAGATGACTGTCAACTGTGAAGGTCAGATTGGAGTGTATCAACACTCACCTCACAGATTAAGATATTTAATACACCATGGGTCCCCAACCACAGCGTTACAGATCCTCCTCCCCTAAGGAAGGATACAAACACAAATCTCTCATAGAATATAAATCAAGAGAGGCTGGGGGATGGATCAGTCAGGGAAGTACTTGTCATGCAAGTGTGAGCAACTGACACTGTATTCCAGGTTCCCCGGAAAAAAGACAAAAATCCAGGCAGGGCAGTAATCTGGTGATATCAGCTCTGGGGAGGTAGAGACAGGAGGGCCTCTGGGGCTTCTCAATCAGCCAGGCTATCTTAATAGTGAAGCTACAACTTCATGGAGAGACTTTTTTTTTTACCATCCTCATGCTCATAATAGTGTCCAGCATGTACACACCAATTCAATAAATACAGTTTAAAAATTTGAAAGTAAAGTAGAGAGCTGGAGTGATGGTTCAGTGCTCAAGAGTGTCTGCTGCTCTTGCAGAGGACTCACATTCAATCCCCAGCAACCACAAAGGGCTGCTCACAATCACCTGTAACTCCAGCTTGAGGTGGTCTGATGCCCTCCTCTGACCTCTGTGGCATTGCACTCTCATGTGCACAAGCCCACCCCTCCCCACCAAATATGCATATAATTGATACAAAATAAAAATTTAAAAATTTTCTAAAATGATAAGGTAGAGGAAGACACCCAACACTGGCTTCTGACCTCCACACTCATGCTCACTCATGTGCATACACACAGAGGAACCTGTACACACACACACACACACACACACACACACACACACACACTCAAGCAAAAAGAAAATAAATTAAGTCCACAAAGCTTCCACAGGGATGTTTTAAGGATAACTTTCTTTCATTGCTATGAGAGAATCGGAATCATTGCACTCAATTAATTTGAATAGAAGAAACATCAATTTCGTGTATGTGCTACCATGGAACAGGATACTTACAGCATCTGGATTTTTTTAGAGACAATAACAGCAATGTACCCTTGCTGCAATTTAGGATTCTTAGCAAGAATCTCACACACTTCAGAACTGGCATTCAAGACGTTGTTCTCCACATCCTAAAGAGTGGACAGTGAGAAATCAAAGGTGGGACTGTTGGTAACTGGCATCTTCTCTAAGAGGGGAACTGACTTAAGTTGTTTGGGGGTTTGAACGAGAATGTCCCCCATAGACTCAGATATTTAAACACGTGGTCCCCAGGTGGTGCGCTGATTGGGGATGATGGGGGAGGTGCAGCCTTGCTGTAGGAAGTCTATCCCTGGGGTGGGCTTTAAGGCTCACAGCCTTGCCTCACTTTCAGGTTGCTCTCCCTGCTTCCTGTTTGCACTGGAAGCTGTGCTCCCTCACCTTCCTCCTCCTGATGCCATGTCTTTCTGCCGTGAGGAACTCTTATCCCTTTACAACCATAAGTCCATACAAACTCTACATAAGTTGATTTTCATCATGGTGTTTTTATCACAGCAACAGAAAAGTGACTTGTACAGGGCGAGACCCTCCTGTCTCCATTAGAGTCATGAGCAGGATGGCACATGCCAGCAATGCCAACACTCAGGGGGCTGGGGCAGGGAGATCAAGTTCCAGGCTAGCCTGGGCTACATAGAAAAATCCTGCATTCCAAAACAAAATCAAACAAAACCAGTGGTGATATCGTTTGCAAGGCAAAGTATTCAAATGACACTGTCTGTCAAACTCAGCAGCAAACCTTTAGCTGACATCTTACCTCCATCAGGTTCTTCCCAATCTCTAGAGGCACAATGTACATTCCAGGTATTGACTTTTCAACAACCTTTTTCAGGGTGTCTATGTTTATCATGTCTCCTAGCCAAGAAAAACAAGCATGAGAATCATGAATCAAAACATTGCTTTAAAAGATTTATTTAACTATTATTTTGTATAAATGGGTGTTTTTCCTACATGATTGTCCGTGCATACATTGTGTGCATTAACCATGGAGGCCAGAAAAGGATCTCAAGTCCACACTGGAACTGGAATTATGAACATTTGTAAGCTGCCATGTGGGTGCTGGGAACTGAACCCAGGTCCTCCAGTGCTCTTAACCACCAGGCCATCTATCCAGCCTTACCAAACAGAAAATTCTAAAATCCAACATTGAAACACAATATGATAGAAAGAGACATTAATTTGGTATGTGTGTGCATATTTAGTGAAAGTGTGTGTGTGTGTGTGTGTGTGTGTGTGTGTATGTGTGTGTGTGTGTGTGTGTGTGTGTGTGTGTGTGTGTGTGTGTGTGTGTGTTGGGTAGACTGAAGAGATGGTTGAGTGGTTAAGTTGTGCACTGCTTTTGCAGAGGGCCCAAGTCCCAGCACTAAGGTCTGGTGACTCACTACCAACTGTAACTCCAAATTTGAGTTCAACTCTTTCTTCTGTCCTCTGTGGGTTCCTTCACATATGACATCCACACAAATTAAATTTTAAAATGTTTTTATTTTTATTTTCTTTGTGTGAGTGTTTTTCCTGCATGTATATGAACAACCTGTGTGCCTGGTATCTGAAGAGTCAAGAAGAGGGGGTTGAATCCTCTGGACCTGGAGACACAAGCAGTTGTAAGCTGCCATGTGGGTGCTGAGAACCAACCCTGGGTCTCTGCAAGAGCACAGACATACATGCAGGTAAAACACTCATACACATAAAAGAAGAACAGTTAAAACTCAAAAACAGTTAAAACTCAAACTCATACACATAAAAGAAGAACAGTTAAAACTCAAAAACAGTTAAAACTCAAAAACATCTAAATTAATAACTAAAACCATAAAGAAGGAAAGGGAAAGGTCATAGACAAGTTTCCAAGAAGGCAGGAAATGGCCAACAGAACCATAGGTCTTTAATGAAATACAAATTAAAACAGTTCTGATTCCAACCAGACAGACTTTGAGGACATGGAGAAATAGGAGCATTTGTGTCCTATTGGTGGAAAAGTAACAATGCAACCCTGTGGAAAAGTATGGAACTGCCTAAAAAGTAACTAAGCATGTAATTATCAATGACCCAGTAATTCCACTCCTACCTTTATACACAAGAGAAATGTAAACAAACATCCAGATAAAACCTTACACAAATGTTGACAGTAGTATTGTGGTAATAGCAAAGGTAAAAACAGTCCAAACGTCCATTGCTGGATGAATAACCTGTGGTATAGTCACACAATGGAATACTATTCACCCATGAATAGGAATGAAGTACTGAAGCATGTTACAACCTGGATGAACCTCAAAGCATGTTCTGTACAATAACCCCACACAAAAGACAAATCATCCACAACTTCACCTGTTGTGTCCAGAATAAGAGACCCCACGGCACAGAGAAGAGGGGGAGGTCATCAGCAGTGAGAGGAGGGGAGGACACAATGACTTCACCATCTGGAGGTTTGCCTGGTGCTCACAGTTCTGAAACTAGAGAGAAGCTGTGGTTGCCTCAGCTGGTGAACAGGCTCAAGGCCACCGAATTGGGCAATGAAAATGGTGAAGCTGATGTCCCATGAATTTCCCTCAGCAGGAACAGATAAAAGAACACTTCCTGTGTAGATGTGTCTGTCAGGAGCTAACAAGCTGCAGAAGGACATGTGGGGCTGGAGAAGCAGTCCCACTAATAGGGTGCTTACCCAGCATGCACCAGGCCCTGGGCAGGACCCCAGGACTGTGTAAACTGGACAAGGGGGCACACATATGGTCCCAGCCCTTGACAGGCAGAGGGAGGAGGATTAGAAGTCAAGGTTATTCTCGGCTGCTCATCACATTAATAAAAACAACAAAGGGGGAGTCAGGTGTGCTGACACAAATCTGTAATCTCATCACTCAGAAGACTGAAGCAGGAGGATTGCCAGGACCGGGATGAGGTACATGAAGTGCCTGAGGCACACACAAGCAAAGGCTAAAAGTGAAAACCAACTCCCCTGCTTCTCAGATCCTGACAGAGTGACACAAACAATTAGAATTTAAAGAGCCTGCACCCCAAATGGACACCTGGTGTGAGAGGAGTCACTGTGGACAAATAGTGAGCTGCCCACCTTGTCTGCTCAAACAAGTACACAGAGGGCAAAATGAAGGGGGCCAGGTAACTGCTCTTAACTGTGGTGAAAGTGTCCCACTCCTGCTGGGGTGCAAATGTCTAAGAACCAGCCTGATGTGTTTCTGTCCACAGAGTATACACATAGTTCATTATAACTCTTATGTCTGTTCTGCTCTGGATAATCTTTCACCCTGCATTACAGACATTCCAGAACAGCACAACTCTGCTCAGTGACAGCCTGAGAGCTGGAGAGGGCAGCATCCATCTCACATCCTCTGTGAGCCTGGCTCTAGCCCTGGGGTCTGGTGCAGCCTTGCAAGAGCTGTCCATCTTCACTGACTAATTCCTCTCTGTCATTTTCTTTAAGCCATTCCAAAAAGATCAGCCTCAAACTGCTTCTGTCAAGATGGAAACAGGTCTTCACATGGCTAGTCCAGTAATCAGTGCCCAGGCAGCTCCTGAAGGACCTATATAACACAAATCTCAAAAGGTCTTATTAATAAAAGAAACTTGCAGCCAGATATTGGGGTGAATGCTGGAAGATCAGAGAAACAGAACAAGCCACAGCCAACTTCACCTCGCCAACTCCTCAGCTCATCTTTTTTCCTCAGGCTGAAAGCCTCTGAGTCCTCACCTGAATGGATTTCAGCTGAACTGCACAAAAGCCTTTGGGTCCTGGTCCTCAAGCCTTATGTACCTTTCTGCTTCTTGCAATCACTTCCTGCGATTAAAGACACGTGTCCTTCCTAAGCAAAGACAAGAGATCCCAAGTGCTGAGATTTAAGGTGTGGGCCACCATGTCTGGCTCTGTTCCCAGTGTGGCTTTGAATCACAGAGGTCCAGATGGATCTCTGCTTCCTGAGTGATAGGATAAAAGGCGTGCGTGCCACCACTGTCTGGCTTCTATGTCTATTTAGTGGCTGGCTCTGTCCTCTGATCCTCAGATAATTTTATTAGGGTACACTATTAGGGTACATAGTATATTGGGGTGTACTATATATCACCTCAGACCTATCTACCTGTGATCCATTGACCTGCTCTCTTCCTATTTGTTGTTGTTGATGATGCACTTTTGTTGTTGTTTGTTTGTTTGTATTTAAGGTGGGGTATTACTCCAGACTGTGCAGGACTCACTAGAATCTCACTAGTGACAAATTGATCCACCCTGGCCTTGAACTTGCAGCCATCTACCTTCCTTTGCTCCCCCAGCCCTGGCGCTGCAGGTGTCAGCCCTCACTCTTGGCTTGTTTCCTTCTTCAGGGATCATTTTCTTCACTGGCTTCCAGGATACTGACCTCTCCTGACCTCCCTCCACCCCTCAGGATGTTCCCTCATGTCTCTCTCCTGGGCTGTTTCCTCACTGTCAGCTCCACCTCCAGAAGCTGAGGTGTCCCCACTCCTGGCACATTCACTCCTGGGGTGACCTTACCCTAGGACAGGACTTTAAGTTCAAGCCAGAGGCCAATGGCTCTGAGCTAAAGTCCCCACCCTTGAAAACACCTCTGTAACACCTCCCAGGTCTGTGCAAAGGGCATCAGGTTTACTAAATCCAAAGCTGGGTGTGCCATCGAATGCCTGTAATCCCAGCACTCCAGGGTGGGACAGAGGGATCGTGAATTCAGAGTCAGTCTGGATCACACACTGAGCCTGGTTTTGAAACAAAGTGCTTCTAATTCAACAGAGTGGTCCAGTTTTTGTGACCCCCACAACCTGGAAAGTAGCAGAAGGACTAGGAGTTCAAGGTTGCCTTTGGGACCCTGGAGTTGAGGCTCCTGTAATCCCAGCACTCAGAAGGAGGAGACAAAAAAATCATGGGAGACTTGAGTCTAGCCTGGACTACATAGTGAGCTCCAAAATAGCCTTGACTATAGACTGAGACCCTGTCTTAAAATAAAATAAAAAACAAAATAAAATAGAGAGAAAGAAAATAGAAAGAAACATCATCCTTGTATAATATCAAGATCAAGGACCCCCTGGGCTACATGAGACACTGTCTTCAAGATTCAAATTAGCTAGGCATAGTTACACAGTCCTATCCCAGTAACTGGAAATTAGAGGCAAGATGAACAGGAGATGAAGGGTATCCTTGACTACATAGAAAATTCTAGATTTCCATGCACTATATGGGATTAAAGAAGTCAACACAAGGCTGCATGTTTCTACAGTGGGTAAAGACATGTGCTGCCAAGATAATGACCTGAGTTCTGTCCCTCAGACACACACAGGGGGAGAAGAGAACTGACTCCACATGTGGCAACCTGATCTTATGTGAGTGCACACACACAGACACAGACAAACAGACACACACACACACACACTAAATAAATAAATAAATAAAAATATAAGAAAATAAAAAAATTAAAAAAAACCAAATCATTTAAAAGCCCAAACTAACAAAAAAACCTAAAACAACAATAATGCTCACTTAAAAATTAAGGCCAAAACCAGGATCCAATTACAGATTGTGTGTGACAAGGTCTAGCTACATGTGTCAGCTTGGCCTAGAACTCAGGCTCCTCCTGCATCTGCCTCCTTAGTGCTAGGACTCCTGGCTTGTGAAAGATTATTTGGTTTAAAAGAATAGTCTTTCCTCTCTCTCTGTCTTCTATCTGTCTGTCTGTCTGTCTGTCTGTTTGTGTCTTTCCTCTGTCTTTGTCTCTGTCTCTCTGTCTCTGTCTCTCTTACACACACACACACACACACACACACACACACACACACACACACACACACAAACACACAAAGTCCACCTCAGATAAGCTCACATTCCCAGCTGTTCCATCTTGGTAAAACAACTTCACTTTCTAATTGTCTAAGCAAAAACTGTGGTGTCATCTCTGCCCCCTTCCTCTCTCACACCATATCTAAACCCTGATGTCACCCTCAAGTATATCAGAGTCCCACCACTTCCCCACACTTCCTGTTACCACACATCCCTCACTATGCAGCTATGAGCCACAGGCCTCTCTAGGGTTGAAGGTCCTGCAGTGTCCCCTTGCAGCTCTCTGTGACACCTACAATCCAGTCTCAGCACAGCAACTAGAACAGAAGTCAGGACATGATGGGACAAGACAGACAGACTGACATGCCTTTAATCCATGGGCCTGATCCCATAGAGTCTCTCCTCCACTTCTACATCCATGGAATGTGCCTGGTCCTGATCCCTCTTCCCCTCATCCCAGGAGAAAAAGAACAAGTGACTACCTACAGGATGAAGTCAGGGGTCTCCAGGACAAACAGGCCACTGAGCTGAGTCTTACACGGGGACTCTCCTCAAGAGGAGTCTCCAAGAAAGTCAACCTTCACAGCTAATAAATCCAGATCCTCAAGACCCTGAGAAATGCCTGTTGTCATCTCTGTGGACAAGCAGCCTGAATTCCCTGTGATCCCAGCTGACTCTGTTCCTCTGTCATCCCTTCTTTTAAAGGACAGCTTCTCCCCAGAGCTCAGAGCCACAGCTTATTTCAGGAACCACTAGAAGGGGCCACATGACCATCTAGGGTCACCAATAGAGTGATCCTTTCATTTGATTTTTAGGTATAAATAAATATATATAATTATATATGGGTCTCCCTATGTAGCTCTGACTGACCAGTAGATGGTCATGTAGATCAATCTGATCTCAAATTTGTATATATCCTCCTGACTCTTCTTCCTGAGTGCAAGTGAATAACTTTCCTAAACCTGTACTTACAAGCACTAACAATGGACTTTGAATAATTCTTTGCAAATTTAACGTAGGCAGCTTATGCTACCCATCTCCTCAAAAGTTCCCTTACACCAGTCTTGAGAGTCCCAACAGACGTGTCCACCCTCTCTTCCCTGCTCCCTCTGCTCCTGCTACACTGATCTGGACACTTACATGCTCAGCTCAGGGCCTTTGCCTCTGCTGCTCCTTTGACCACACATCCACATGGCATCTTCCCCCATCCACTTCAGATCTGCTCAGCAGTCACTCTCCAGGGAATCCTTTCCTAACCTTGCTCTCTACAAGCTCATGCTCACACCTCCAGCTCTGTCTTCTTCCAGGCTTTCTGTCTGTCTACACTGCACTCACCACCATTTGACACATTTCCCCCATTTCTCTAGAGTGTGTTTCCCCACCGGAAAGTGAGTTCCGAAAGGGCGGACAGTTCAGTCTGTTTCCTGCTCAGGTGTAGTCGTGCTGTGTGGTGACTGTAAAAAGGACACACAGGTGATTGACTGGTAGATCTCCATTCAGAGAGTGGAGGAATGAAAGCGTGAGTGTGCCGCCAGCTCTGCAGGGACCGACGGCCTGACTGTCAGGTGCTGCTGGCTGATGCCATAGCTGCTAGGATTTCAACAAGGGCAGCATAAACCCTAGCAGTGCACAGCTCTCCCTGAGCGCTCACCAAAGACACATAACTCCTTTCCTTCCAGTGCAGAGGGGTCCTCACATCACAAAACATAGTTCAGGCAGCTGACCTGGAATCACTGTCCTGCCTTTCGAGCTCTGGCTCTGCAGATGTGAACCTGGACAGGAAAAGGAAGAGTGTTGCCTGCCCTGTGTCCATGTACTCCTCACTCACCTTCCTCATACCAGATCACCAGAGGTGTTGGTGATTCTGACTCTGGGTCTACACTCCTCAGCTCCCAGGCATCACAACACCAGGACAGAAGACAGACAGACAGGAGCCACTGGGAACCAGGTAACACCATCTTAGCTCAGTGACACTAACAGATGCATGTGTCCCTGGGAGGCAGTCAGGGAGCCTGCTGGGACCCAGGTGACCACGCCCCTCCAGGAGACAAAGCTTGAGCTTTCCTTTCAGGAAAACCATTGCTGACACATATTTATTCAGAGCTTACCACAGACCGGAAGCTGTTCTTCTGCCCTTCAATCAGTCTATTTCAATGCTCTCATTATATACTTGAAGACATGGAGGTGACAGTTATGTGTCATCAAGGAATTGAACTATGACTCCTCTCTCGGGTTTATTTTAGCAAACAAGAGCTGTCTGTTCTTTGACAACTGTCCAACTAACTTTGGGATGATTTTTTTTTGCTCCTATTTAGTTTGTATCCCTCCAAACAGAAGACCTAAAATTTTGCCCTCCGACCCCTGCCCCTTTCTTTCAAAGTTATCCTTGCCATCAGGGCTGCTATACTGGCAGCAGTTGGAACCTTCCTTAAAAGAGCCATGGTCACTCCACTCCCGATTATCTATGTCCCTCATTCCCCTGCACACCTACACGACCTAGGTCTCACATATTCCAGAAACTTCTGGTGACCAAGAGGTGACTAAATAGTCCCCAACGTGAAGCCAAACTCCAACACCCTTCCCTGCCTCCTGGCCCTGGCTGTCCAGAAACTGGCCATGTAGACAGGCTTACCTCAAACTCACAGAGATCCACCTGCCTCAGCTTCCTGAGTACTTGGACCACCGACACACCTGGCTTCAAAACAGAACCTTTAAAATACCTTTTATTTTAGCCACCCCTCATTCTAGGACCTGGGCTCCTTATCTTTAGCCTCACATGACCCCAGTTTTTGTTTCCACATCTGGGAACTGTGTCCTTTGCCCATCTACCTCCGACAGGCAGCACACTGCCCAGCCAGCACCTCTTCCTAGACTCTACCAGCTGGACCACCCACCACCCAGGCCTGTACTGGGTGTCTCTCTTAAGCATCCTCCATAGAGGTCTGACAGCCAGATGTTCCTCCTCAGTCTTATCAGCAGCTTTTTAGTCAGGCAAATTACCCACAGGCCTCTGCTGGGTCTGCCTGTCTACCTAAACCTAAAAGTCCACAATTTTTGCTACTCTCCAGTCTGCCTGGGTCTCCCCAATGAGACTTCACCTAACTCTGTCTCTGACCTCCACAGATGCCTAAAACTGCCCCCAAAATTCATTTCTTGTTCTTCCTGCAGCCCAAACCTGCAGCTCATTCACTCTGCTGCTATCATTCCCATCCCCGGCCCTTCACAGCTGTCAAGTACACAGAACCTCTCACTGCTGTCTTGAATCACCTCCACATTCCCTCTGGGGGACCCCTCTCTGCCTAGACTGCCCTCTCCTCTGAATCCCTGCTTTGCATCTCATCCTCCTTCTAAAACCCCTCCTTCAATGCCTTTGGGGAAATCTTGCCTATAATAGTGGTGACTCAGTCCTTTAATCCCAGCACTTGAGAGACATGAGCAGGTAGACCTTGTGGTTCGAGGCCAGCCTGGTCTACATAGAGAGTTTCACTATAGCTGGGGCTACATAACCAAACCAAACCAAAAGAAACAAACAGAAAAGACAGGGCTGAGGGCATAGCTCAGTGGCAGAGTGCTTGGCTAGCATGTGTGCGGCCCTGGCTTCAATCCCCAGGAGTGAAAAATGAATATCTGAGAAAAATTGGAACAACAAACTTGCAGTTTAGCCAGAAAAGCAGGACACTTAAGCTTGGGGTAGAGAGATGGCTCAGCAGTTCAGAGCACCTGCTGCTCTGCAGAAGACCCAGGTTCGGATCCCAGTGCACAAATGGAGTTTATACCAATCCATAACTCCAGTTCCAGGGACCCAATGGGAGTGGTGAGAATTGAACGAGGGTCTTCAGCAGAGAGCCAGGGTCCTTAACTGATGAGCCATCTCTCCTGTCCAGGTATTAAATTTTTAAATTTTTAAATGATTTATTAAAAAAATGTGGATGGGGTGGGGTTATATGCTTGTGAGTACAGGATCCTGTGGAGGACAGAAGAGGGCATCATATCCCAGGAGCTGGAATTGCAGGCAGTTGTGAGCCAACTGAGGAGAGTGCTGGGGTCTGAACTCAGGTCCTGGAGAAGAACAGTGTGTGCCCTTAACTGCCAAACCACCTCTGGAGACCCTAACATTAATATATATGTATGTATGTATGTATGTATGTGTGTATTTATTTTAGTGTGTGTGTGTGTGTGTGTGTGTGTGTGTGTGTGTGTGTGTGTGTGTTCACTCCCATGCTGTCCTGTGCACATCTGTGTTTGTTCATCTGGAAGGTGATGCCTCTATATTGGAAAGTGTTAAGAAGGAACAGGATGTAGACTTCTTCTGAGCTGTGGAATGGTCTCAACAACCAACCACAGTTAGGGAAATGCCACCTGCCCCCATGTCTGTCAACAGAACCAGTCTCTTCCTGGCCAGGCCAGTTTTGTTTTGAACCAGGACTCACTATGTGGCCCTGGCTGGCCTAAACTCTCCGAGATGTCCTGCTTCTGCTGCCAAGTGCTGGCATTAAAGTTGTATGCTACCACGACTGGTTGATGAAGTATTTTACACAAGATTTTGGACGTGTGTATTATCATTTTATTCTGCTTTGGAAAGTTGTGTTTCCACAGCAGACATGGTGGCACATGTCTGTGATTCTAGTATTTGGGAGGCAGTGGCAGGCAGATTGCCATAATGGTATACACAGCTATTTCCAGTCCAGTCAAGATTGTATAATGAGAATCTATGATTAAAAAATGAAAGTACTTGGGTGGGGTGGGGTGCTTGAGAGATGGCTCAGCAATTAAGAGTACTAGCTGTTCTTTCAAAAATAAAACGGTTTAATATTGTGGATCAGAGCTACATTGTGGATCAGAATGTTCAAGGGATTCTGATGCACTCTTCAGGCTTCTATGGGCATCATACATTCCTGTGGAGCACATGTATACATTCAGTCAGAACACCAACACACATTAAATAAATAGTAAGTAAGTCAGTAAATAAATAAATAAACAAGATCCAAAAAATGGCTGGGATAGTTTAGTCAGTAAGATGCTTGCCTTGTAACTACCAGAGCCTGGGGTAGATCCCCAGAACCCAAGTGAAAATTCCAGACAGGGTGGTGAGTGCCAGTAATCCTAGCACTGGGCAGGCAGACAAGGCAGATCCTTGGGGAATCTCTGGCCGGCCAGTATTGGCTACTTGCAAGTTCCAGGCCAATGAGAGACCCTGTCTCAAAAGTAAGTACATGGCTCCTGAGGAATGACATTCTAGGCCTCAACATCACAGGCACACATACATACATACATACATACATACAGACAGACACACACACACACACACACACACACACACACACACACACACACAGTGTGAGTCTTGCTATGTATCCATGCTGTAAAACTACAAATCATACAGAAATGTATAATGTAAAAAAATGAGCTCGGTATGGTGGCCCAGGCCTGTAATCCCAGCACTTACAAGGCAGAGGCAGGAGGATCAAGAGTTAAAGGTCATCCACAGCTACACAGAGAGTTCCAGGACAACCTGGGCTACATGACAGAGACCTATCTGGTTTCTTCCTCAATCCCTCTCACCTTATTTTTGAGATAGAGTTTCCAATTGTACCTGGAACTTGCTAATTTGGTTAAACTGTCTGGCTAGCAAGCTTCAGGGTTCCCTTGTCCTTACTCCTCAGCACAGGGATTATAAGTGCATGTCCCAATACCTATAGAGGTGGGATCCTGCTGTGGAACAATCTTTTTGTACACTATGAATATGTATTACTCTCATTGGTTAATAAAAGCTGATTGGCCAGTAGCCAGGCAGGAAGTATAGGCAGGAAAACCAGACTAAGAGGATCCTGGGAGGAAGAATGACAGAGTCACAGGAGTCAAGGGCATGGCTAGCCAGATGCAGAATGAGTCAGACACATGAAATGGGGTAGAGGTAAAAGCCACAACTCTTGGGACAGCACATAGATTAAAAGAAATGGGTCAAGTTATAATAGCTAGTTAGTAGTAACCCTGAGCTATTGGCTGAGCATTTAAAATTAATATAAGCCTCAGTATGTTTATTTTGGAGGTGCTGGTGGGACAGAAACTTCTGCATTCTACAAATGGAATCCATTGTGGGCCAATATAGATCCACATAAGCCTGAGAAATCTTAAAAAAGGTCCTAAACATAGAAAAAGAGGCCAAGAACAGCTTTCTAGTCCTTAGTCTCTCATGCCAGCCACAGTATGGGGATGCATCTCACGGTAGCTGCCTGCAGGCTTGAGCCTCCAGCACCCCATAAGACTGGCTTCATGACAGGTTCCCTCAATTTTTCACAACAGCCACACACAAAAAAGTGTCTCCTGACAGCCGCCCGCAACCATCCTGCATGCATGCCATGTTCCCCTACCATGTGCTAAGCTGAGCAATGCTGGTAGGTGACATAGCAGTTTAAGATTTCTCTCATGTGGTTAAAAACAATACAGATATTCAGTAAAGCCAGATTCAGATGGAAAAAAGGCCTCTAGATGGGTTACAGTGTGTTTAAAAATACACATAGGCTTGGGAAAGAAAACAGAAAGGGCATATAAACATAGTTTAAACATAAAATGGTAAAGTCTTTTAAAAAGGAATAAAGTAATGTTAAAAAATACAATAAGCCAGGCTGGGCGGTGGTGGTGCACGCCTTTAATCCCAGCACTCGGGAGGCAGAGGCAGGCGGATCTTTGTGAGTTCGAGGCCAGCCTGGTCTACAGAGCGAGATCCAGGAAAGGCGCAAAGCTACACAGAGAAACCCTGTCTCGAAAAAAAAAATACAATAAGCCATGGAAAGATGGAAAATACACAGAGAGACTAGAATCTGCATGTTAATGTGTTTTCTTTAAATTTTTTGACTGCTAAGAGACACTAGATTAAGGCTGCTAGATTAAACTAACCTATATATTTAAAAAATATCTGGACTTCAAAATTTAAGTCAAAAGGTATATTACTTTGGGG